ACCAGCAGCTCCTCAGAAACCCTATGCAGGGTCACTATGGGTCGGAACTGACTTAATGGTACTTAACAACATACCTGTGCTTATACAGGAGTGTACACATGTATGTTGTTTTTTTCTTGTATGTGTGTCTAACAGGGGAAGTCCAGGGAGCTCTTTTTTTCATTTTCTGAATAATTCAGTCAAATGAGCAAGACTGGGAACCCCCGCCCCAGGGAGGACAGGACAGGTTTCTCTTGGTGCCCCAGAGGACTGGAAGACATAGGGTAGTTTTGAAGGATTCTTTCAAACTCTCCCCAGAAATGTCAGCAGTTCCTAATTTCTCCAGGGCAGGGACCCCTCCCCCTCACCAGATGACTGACTAGAACTAGGGGAGGCCCAAGCTGTCCCGCCCTAGAAAGGTAATGTCTGGAGTCAGGCATTGGGACTCTGGCCACCCCCCACCCTCAGAGAGCACAGAGCTCCGCCCTCCTGCCTCTGGTCCTCTCTCTTCCTCTTCACCATCTCCTCCAGTGAGCCATTACTGTACCCACCCACCCCCAGGCCCCCAAGGTCACCCTGACTGCCCTTTTAGCAGGTCCTTCAGTAAACCTGTGCTTGCCCTCAGAGAGGAACCAAACTGAGTGTCCTAGTTTGAGATCTGTCTCAAGGATTATGCTCAAAACATGAGGCGGGGAGGGGGATGGGGAGTGGGGGTGGGGACGGCAGCCTGTTTAGCTGATCTGTGTTCAGGAAGCAGGAACAGTGAAAGAAAGGCCTTTCAGATTCAGCTACTGGCTGTGCAGAGCTTCTTTGCCTCTCTGTTCTGGCACAGGAAGGGGAAGTCATGATGGCTTCATGGAGGAGGCAGCTCAAGAGGAGACGTTGGACAGGAGGTGGAAGGACCCTAACCAAACACAGGCCCTCCAGGCCCTCAGGAATCTGAGGTCCAGTTTCTCAAAGGGGTCCAGTTTGCCTCTTGAGAACATTCTATAAGTAAGGGAGGAAAGTGAAGTGAAGCATGCAAGAGCAGACCTGGGGCCTCAGGATGGATTGCTGTGTGATCATGGGCTTTTGGCTATCTTCTCTGGTCCTCAGGAGATAAGCACTGAGGAGGGAGGTGGGGCTCAGGAATTCAGCCTTTGGACCAGATCCCCTGGGACATTCCAGGGGACAGTTTAACCTGGGAGGGGCAGTGTCAGGTGACAACCCTGAGCTTGGAATCCTTTCTTTAAATGGGCGTCCTGGCCCTGGGTGGATGCTTTAACAATCAATCCTGCCTCAGTCTCCTCATCTGTAAAAAGGGCATGTGTTTGCAGGAATGTGTTTCGGATCTCAATCTCCTTCACTGGGTCACTCACATACCCTTCAGGGAGCACATACTATATGCCGAATTCCTGTCCTCCTGCACACCTAGACTCAGCAGTCTAGAAGGGGAGTTTTCCACCCCTTCTCAGCACCCCTTTTGAAAAAGGACATCGCAGGATGTCCCCTTGTCTGAGCATCTTGCAGAGGAACAGGTGACAAAGGCACAGAGGTGGAGGTGGGGGTGGCTGAAAGAAAAAGTAGCAGGAGGCAGGTGAAGTCTGCTTCAGTGAATGAATAGGGGGCCCAGTCCCAACTGTAAAGCCCCCAGCAAGACTAAAATTCCCAAGCTAAGAACCTGTTCACTTCCTCTCCTCCCCTCCCCCCTCCCCCCTCCCGCTCTCCACTTCCTCTTTTCCTCTTCCTCTACTTGCTTTCTCTCTCAGGCCTATTTACAGGCCAGCTGAGCGCCTCCCCCACCAATGTTGGCAGCCTCAGTCCCCTCCTGTCTTCCAAATACCCTCAGGGTCCCCTCTAAAGGCTGAGGACACCAGCAAACCAACTACTATAGAGTCCCTTCTGTCTCATGGTGCCCCCCTGTGTGGTGGAGTCCATAGAACTGTGCTCCACAGGGTTTTCAATGACTGTTTTAAAGAAGTAGATCACTAGGCTTTTCTTCCCAGGTACTTCTGGGTATACTAGAGCCCCCCCAACATTTCTGTCATTAATTGAGTACATTAATTCTATGCACCACCCAGTCACACTGGGGCGCTCACTTTTTCCTTTAGTACAGTAGGGTTCTTAGTGGTAGAAGTGGGGAAGCCCAGACCCTCCATAGTCCCATAGTTGTAAATAGGGTCCAGCACATTGAGCTCATGTGGGCTGGAGGGTGTATGTTCTCCAAGGAGAGGTCTTCTGGGATGGACCTTGCACGTTGCATAGAAAAGCACAAGGAAGGGGGGGCTGCATGCAGAAGGAACCAGAGGCTAGGAGTGTTACAGCCTGAGGTGAGGTGGGCTGGAGCACCTGCCACTTGGCCCACACCTGGCTCGGTGCCTGGGTGGAGGCATCTAGGAAGAGGCCCAGTGACACCCCTCCTGTAGTCCTGGCCCACCCTGCTCACCACCCCACTAGGTTCTGTGCCTGGGAAATAAGGGAAAGAGATAATAAGAAATTTGCAACAAAAAGGGTTGCCCCTACCCTGGTGAAATCACAGAACTGGCAGATCCCAAGGCAGTTGGCAGGATGCCAGCCACTGAGAGACACAAGGCCAGGGACAGGGTAGTCCAGCCTCCAGGAACGGTGGCCGGGAGTCATTGGACAGGCTAGCAAAGTACTCCTAGACCACGGTGGTGACAGTGGAGCTGTGATAAGTCACCAGGCAGGCCACAGGGAATGCATGCACAGGGCTTAGAGAGTCCACAAAGATCTCTGCAAGCCAGATGGTGGTCACTCTGTCTACTTCAAATGCCCTGCCTCCTCGTCATGGCCACTAGTTCCACACCCACATGGTGGCTGATGGAGTGCTCCTTTCCACACACATTACCTGAGCACTTTGGGTGAACAGAGCATTTGAGACCCTACACACACCTGGATTACCCACCCTTTAATGTGTAAGTCCAGTTTCTTGTTACCACCTCTAGAAATCCTATAGGCTTCCTTAGGGACTCCATGGTCATTGGAATCAGATTAGTAGCTTCCAGAAGAGTGAACAGGGCCAGTCACTACTGACCACCCAGAACACTCCAGGTACATGGGTTTCGCCCAAAGTTTGGTGGACAGACCCAGGGCAAGAAAGGGTGAGCAGAGAATCTTCTCGACACCCTGGCACATGCAGGGGCCCCTCTGGAGTTCAGTGTGGCCTCCAGATGGTCCAGGTGGGCAGCTTAGCTGCAGCCCCATATGAATTACAGATGCTGGATGGTGGTCCAGGCCTCAGGGCCATTGTGAGCCTAGCAGGGCCTGGCCACCAGTTAGTGGCCCTGACCTGACTGGGGTGTTCCTAGGCAGCTCTTGGAGGCAGCTAGGCACTCTGGGATACATTTCCCTGATTCTTGGACCCCAAAGCTTGCAGCTGGGGCTGCTGGGAGCCTTTTGTAGAAGGAAACCTCTGGACCCTGGGTCTTGGGGCCTGGACACTGCCCTGACCCTGGGGCCCTGAGATCCCTCTTAAAGGCCACAAGCCTCCCTGGTTCCTCCCACACCTGTCTTCAGCCCCAAATCTCTGAGTAGAGTCCCTCTTCTTCTTAGCAAGCTGATCATAACAGCCAGAGACCCCTAGACAGGCCGGACTGTTGAACTACTGTTTGGCAAGAGGGCAGGACCCCCTCACTACCCTCACCCTGCATCGCTCCCCTACTGCCCCTCCAGCAGGTGTCCATAGCAACCAAGACCATGGCACCCCAGCTAACCAGTGCCCAGTAGGCGCGCACTGTTCATGGGACATCCACACCCCAAGAATCCTGGGTGCAGGGCGAGGATAGTCGAGCAGGCGGGGGTCCACGGGCCCAGCACCCAAGGGCGGCCAACGCCAAACTCTCCCTCCTACTCCTCTGCCCCTTCCCTTCCTCAATCTCGCGCTCTTGCTCTCTCTCTCTCTTTTTTTTTTTTTTGCAAAAAGGAGGGGAGAGGGGGTAAAAAATGCTGCACTGTGCTGCGAGGCCGGTGAGTGAGCGGCGCGCGGCCAATGAGCGGCCGCCGTTCCAAAAGTTGCCTTTTATGGCTCGAGCGGGCATCGCGACGCCCTATAAAACCCGGCGGCGCGACGTTCAGCCACAGTCGAGACCGCGTCCATCCCGCGAGTGCTACCCTCTCGCCGCTGCACAGTCACCGCCGCTGGTTCACACTTGCCACCCCCAAGGTAAGCGCCTCGCCGGGCCCTGCGCACTGGTGACGACCCCGCACCGGGGGCGGGCGCCTCGGTACGATCCCCCCCGGCCCCGATCTGGTAAGCTGATGGAGGCCCGATGGCAGTCTCTCTGCTGGTACGGCTGACTCGGCGGCAGTCGCCCTGCGCGCTAATGGCGGAGCCCACAGCACCGTCCCCGCGTCCTCCATCTGGACAGGCAGTGCCCCTTGGCCAGCCCGTCTTGGCCTCTCCCCGCGGCCCACGTAATCCGTGGAAAAAGCCGCCCCGGCTCTGCGACAAGTGGGGGCCCGGAAAAAGGGCCCAGGGAGCGCGCCCAGTGGTTGGGACCCAGGAGGCCCAGCTTTTGTCTGAACGGCCAGAATGCTGCCTCTGGGTGGATGGGTGACTGAATGGGTGGGTAGCTGGGTGGGAACACGCGGCGGGCCAAGACCGGGGCCGGGTGGGGGCTGGGGAGCTATTGCGCCTGCGTCCGGCAGGTCTCTGGCGCGGACAGCGCGGGCCGGACCGGCTAGGGGAGGGCGGGGCGGTAGTCCCGGAAGGGGTGGGGTCGCGGCCGCTGCGATGGCGGCTGCGCGCATTCACTTCTCCCGCCCGCCGAGGGTGTGGCCGCGCGCCCAGCACAGTTTGAACGCGGCTTGGGCGGGGCTCACAGCTGAGGGGGCGGGGCCTGGCCTGCGGCCGCCGCCAAACAGCCTTTGCCATTTATGGTAATAACGTGGCCAGCCCGGCTTCCTTTGTCCCGAGGCCGCGCGCCGGCGCCCCCTTGCGGCCCGTGGCTGCGGTGCGCCGGAAGCGGGGCGGGGCGGGGCGGGGGCGTCCTGCTCATGGCCCGCTCCTTCCTCAGCTCACCATGGATGATGATATCGCTGCGCTCGTGGTCGACAACGGCTCCGGCATGTGCAAGGCCGGCTTCGCGGGTGACGACGCTCCCCGGGCTGTCTTCCCTTCCATCGTGGGGCGCCCCCGGCATCAGGTAGGCGGCACTTGCACTGGAAGTGGTGCACGGGTGGGGCTGCATCTTAGGCGAGGCCCCTGGGGCTTCCTGGAGGCTGGCTTGGCCCGAATCGGCGCTGATATCGTCTGCGTTTCCTCCATAGGGCGTGATGGTGGGCATGGGCCAGAAGGACTCCTACGTGGGGGATGAGGCCCAAAGCAAGAGAGGCATCCTGACGCTCAAGTACCCCATTGAGCACGGCATCGTTACCAACTGGGACGACATGGAGAAGATCTGGCACCACACCTTTTACAACGAGCTGCGTGTTGCTCCAGAGGA